AGCCTTTACACACTGCATGGTCTGTAGCTCCTATAGGTGCTACAGAAATAGAGGTGACTGCTGACACAGGAGGATGCTGGATAATGCACATGGATGTGGCCTCATCTTTCTTTCTCTGAGCCCTGAAGGAGGCTGCCAAAGGCTCCCACTGAGAATTCAAGGTCTTTGTGGAAGGAAATCCCCACGAGTAAAGGAAAACCAAAAATATTAGTGAGAAACCCAATCCTGACCAGTGTGACCAACATGGGATTTTTCTTGGGAAGAAAGGAAAAAAACAACCCACAAAAATATGTCTGAAAAGGGCAATGAAATACCTTTTTCTTGGTGAGATTGTGGGGTCAGGAGTCCAAGCCAGGACATGGTGGAAATGAGAAAAGGTTCCACTGCTGTGATGCCAAACAACTCAGTAAAAAATGTGGCCACTCCTGCAGCTGCTGGTCAATTCAGACTTGATTCTCTGGGCACCCTGGGCACTCACCTTGAACAGCAACTTTAAATTTCACTGTAAAGGGCTGGTGTCAGTACAAAATCATGCAGCTGCTTTAAAGTAGTGCTGTTTTCCTTCTATTTCAGCAGAGCCTGCTGGGGCTTTGTGGAGATTTTAGAGGAGGGTCATTTTATTCTCCCCCAAAGAGAGACCCAAAGCCCTGCACACATGGCAGGGGTGTGTGAGATGTCTCCTTGGGAAGATCCCATGGGATGGCCCTGTGCTGCCCAGCTTGACACAGAGCCTCCAGAGAGGAAAGGATTCCTTTTAATTAACTCAGACCTGACTTTGCAGTTTTTCACAGCCCCAAACTTTATGTAATACTTCAAGATTAACAGTTAAATAAGAAGAGACTTGACCTGGAAAAAGCTCCAGCTTAGGCAAAATTTATCTTTTTTTCCTGCTCATTTTTAGCAAATATAAAGATGTTTGGCTATTGTAGGTACAGCTGTGCCCAGAAGCATTAGCTATTAGTCAGCTCACGATAATTAGTCATCTAAGATACCATTTTTTAAAGACCTCACATAGCTCCATCTGCATGTCACACTGAGGTCTTGAAGATCAGTGCAAGAGAACAGAATCCTGGGCTGGAAACCCAGGAGGAAAGAGCAGGACAGAGTTGGCAGCTGCACAGCCCTTTTGCCTCCTCACCTCAGTCCCCCCATGATGAGGGAGAAGAGACACTGACACTTTTTGCTGGTGCTTCAAGCCCTGGGCACAGTGCTGGAATATTATTTTCAGCACTCCTGATGTGCTGCTGCAGGCTCACTCCCCTGTGCTGAGTGGGGACCACGGAGCCCTGGCAGCATCACTAGAGGCTGTGCTGGTCCCTCACCTCAGGTCTGCTTTAGGAGGGAGGTTTTCTGCACAGGGCATGGGCTGAGGAGCCCCACAGGGCTGGCAGTGGCAGCATTGTTCCCCTATCCATGAGTTGTGTGGATCCAGACTTCCCTGATACACTCTCCTCTACAATGAGGAAAGAAGGAAAGCAGAGATTTTTTTCCCACTCCTCCTCAAATCAACCTTTTATAATTAATTCAAAGAGGAAAATGAGTCTCTTGGGAAGGAAAGACAGGAATCTTATCAATTATTTGAATAGGGTGGAATGCAGTGACATCAGCAGCTAATGAAGTAAATCTAAATTAAGCCGCTTTTTATTTTTTTTACAAAAGCCAGAACATCTGGTGTTTGACAGTGAGACCAATTGAGTCACCAATTAATCTCACAAAGTGCCATTGCTCCTCATTTTTCTGTGTGAAACCATTTCTTCAGTCCTTACCACCAGTAGAGAAGATAAAAAATAGCTTGTTGAATGAGCCACTGCAGAAATCTTCTTGTCATGAAGAGCTCGTTAGGTCAGCATTGAAGTGATTTATCAGGGACTTGGATTTGAGATCAGCTTTGCTTGTACAACTGACTTGGTGTCAGTGCTTCAAGCAAAGGCTTACAAATTACCATCAAAGCAAGCATGGCTCAAATAGCTCCTGACCAGTGGAGTGGAGACAGAGAAATACAATCCTTCCTGTCCTCTATTATATCCTGCCAGCCATCCAGATGTGATGCAAGGAGTGGAGCAGGTATTAATACTATTAATACTGGTGCTGAGAGGGAGCTCATATGTTGGAAGAGATGCTGAAAGCAATATGAGATTAATTTATGTCATCTTAACTTCTCCTAAGCCCCCTCTGCTGATCTCCCCAGCCCTTTGGGGGAGTGGATGGTCCCTCAGCACGTGGCAGTGATCAGTGCAGTCTTACACAGCACCTGACCTTATATAATCCAACATGTGTCTGATGATATTTTTCAGTTCCCTTGAGGTGAAAACTGCCTTTTCCATGTCAGTCAGAATTGTGTGTCTGTGCTAATCCTGTTCTTCCATATGCCTGAGCTGAGAGATCAGAGTGGGAAAGGTGGGGAGGGAGGACATGATTTCTTTAAAAAGTCAAACCCCTAAGTTTCCATGGTCTGAAACATAAGAGCAAGTTCATAATCTTTTTCAGCCCATCACATGTACAACAGATATTTTTCCTTGCAAGACAGATTTAACTTTCTTTACTAAGTTAATTTGCAGACAAGAAGAAAATCCACTGCTAAGTACAGCTTCAGGAATAAGCCAAACACGTGCCTCACTCCCATCCCCATCTGTACCACATTTTCCATTCCCTGCTCTGCCTCTGATTCTTTCCCACCAGCTGGGTCTTGATGTCTCTCCTCACCACCTTTCTCTCCCTTCCAACTGTTTTTCCCACTGGAATTCCTTCCCCTTTTGCCAGCATCCTCCTCTCCCTCAGCACGTGAACTCAGGCACATCAGCACTGAACTCTCAAGCACGCAATGCTCAAGTGGATCCAAAACTAGTCAAAACAAGCTCATCCATCAATAGCTTTTAATGTCAAGAGCTCTGAGGGCAGGGGTGGAGGTGGAAGGCAGGGCCACAATGCATATTCAGGCAACAATGGAACTGTTGTTACACAGCAATTAAGAGTGCTCCTCTAACAGGTTGGCACTGCACTTTTGTGAAGGTGAGAGAAGCCACAAAACATTTACATTACCCAGAACAAGCAGCTTCAAGTGCCTTTTATGTCCAGCCTGCATCTCCTCAGCAGTCATAGGAGATCCAAACCTGCCTTGGGCCAAATAGTGATGCATTTTTAAATAATATTAATCACTTTTTACCATGACTTTTTGGTTTGCTGAGTCAAAAGTCATATTCCTTATTTCTGGGTATGCCTAGGTGCTGCACTGTGAGCATTAATTAAATGGACATATGGAATTGGTTATGCTGTACTTGAGCCACAAAGCATAAACATAAATAAAGGAACTTCTTTCTTTACAAATATTAGTCTAAAATAATTTATCCAAAAATTAATTACCAAAGTATAGTAACACTATCTTTAGGAGCTTAATCAGAGTCAAAACTCCATCCCATACAGAAGAATCTGTACTTCCTTCATATTCAAGTCTATTAAATTATTTCCACGTACATGGGACACAGAATTTTAACGTGTGAATCTGGCAGGATTTGGCTGCTGCAATCCTACCTGGTATGAAAGTCAGGGGCTGAATTCTAAGCAGAGATGAATTGAAAGAAAGCAGCAGGAGAGGCTGCTTGACAAACAGCATGTACCTCCACTAAGACCTGAACACACCGGGTAGGATTTCCATAAGGTGAAAAATATGGCTCTAAGCCAGATATAAAAATGAAAAGCAAAAACAGCGTAAAGAACTGAGTGTCTGAAGACTTACAAGAGAGCTGATGCTCCCTGCATGGCTGAAGGGCTGAGCATGCTATTGACTGAGATGACAGAGTTTTTGGACAATATGGGAAATCAAAGCATGCCAGAGAGCTGGAGATCCAGCATTGTTCTGCATCCCCTCCTTTCCAAATGAGGGGACTGAAGCAGAAAAATTATTTTCTATTGAATAATAGAAAAAAAAAAAAAAAGCTTGTGCCTTCAGTGCTGGAAAAAATCCTTGTGCAGAAAGAAAGGGCCATGGACAAAACATACCCAGTGAAGGACTAAGAGCCCATTTCTTAGTGCAGTGCCTTACCTGCATGGAGACAGCTCCTGTAATTGCCCTGATGAGTTGTCCCACAGAGGAGAGACCAGGTACTGCTCCTTACCAGCATTCATGCCTGGAGGCACAGGGCAGGAACACAGCAGCTCAGCTTTTATGTCAAACAGTGCAAGGCAGACCAAGCAATAAGTATTTTTCTCCATTAGTGGAAAAGGATATCAAAGTCCAAGCTTGCTGAGCACTTGATTTAGTCCTCAGTCAGCCCAGGAGATATCAACAGGGAGTTTGGCAGCATCTAACACTCACAGGTGCTCAAAGAACATTTCTTATCAATGACTTTCCAAAGCAGGAGGAAAGGGTATGATTTTGGCCTCACTTGTAGTGACACAAGAGTCACTTGGCTTCAGAAACAACCATCTCTGGCAGAGTGGGGACTGGAAGCCACAATTCCTGGGTAATGTATCAGCAGCATAGCAGAAGTACTGGCCCCAGGCTGAGCCCAAGCCCTGGGCTTTTGTCAAAGCACCAAACTGAAGGACAAGCCATCCCATTTTAGCTCCTCTCTTCATCTCCTCTCTAGCAATTCTGCAAATATTGATTAAGACTGTACTGTTCACTCGTGGTTGATAAGTCCTTCTAACAGCTCATTGTGGGAGATTTCAAATTCCTTTTTTAGACCATCTCCTATATATTTACCTACCAGCAACCAAATAATAGTATGAAATTAAAAACACATTACCTTTAACTGCAAGTATCTATTTATAGAAGCAGGTGAATGCTGCAGGGACAATCATCACATTTTTACAGCATAGCTACTTTGGATAAAAGTTAGAGCGAGGCAGGATTATTACCTGTGAGGAGATGAAGTGGATCATTTCAGAGCCTTGCTTGGTTTGTGACAGGAGGTCAAATGAAGATATTCTAAGGTTAAAGTCAGGGTTTCCAGGTGACCTGCATTTTGCCTCAAGAAAGCTTCTTTTTTCCTTTATCACTGCAACCTCTCTCACCTGTAGAATATTATTCAATAGGTTTTCCTTGTCTCCCAGCCAAGATCCATTTTCTCCAGAACCAGCAGACAACCACAGAAAATGAAATAGCACCTGCTGGTCTCACCTTTTTATGGTGTTTTATCCATCTTTATCTTCCTCTCCTCTCTAAATGGCAGAATTAAAAAGCAGGTTTTATCCTGTAATACAGATGAGAAATTTATCCACACCATATATCTTGTGTCAAGCTGACAGAGCAAATTGGGAATGGGGGAGATACATGTGGGGGATGTGGACTGAATAGAGGAGGATTAGCAGGACAGACAAGTACATGGGATACAGAATTTTAACATGTGAGGAACACACGTACAGGAAGAATTTAAGTCAGAACTATCCAGTCCACTCCCAAGAGTCCTGGGCAAACATGAAACCATCCAGTCCACAAATCACTTTTAAATGTTTTTTGTGTGCAAGCTGTCCATCCACACAATAAAGGGTGCTTCTAGGCACAAAGCTGGGAAAAGAGACTTGAAAATTTGCCTTTTCTTAGGACTTTTGGGCTTCCTCACTCTTTTGCAGATCTGGGAGTACCATTTTCAAATGCTCCAGTGTTTTTACTAATTTTCACCAAGTGAGACTGGATCCCAGGTCCTTTGGAGGATCCAGAGTGATTTTCTTCTTGCTTGGTTCACTTTTGTTTCAGCTATTCAGAACATTTGGGTTGTTCATACTGAACATTGCAAAGTTACTGCCTCTTCCCACCCTTATAAATGGGAATTTTATTTTACAAAAACAGAACAAAATGTTTATTCTGATCTGTATCAAGAAACCAAGTCCCACTTCCCATCATCTCTTCCAACAGAGCCTCTATACAAAGGGAAGACGTCCTTAAATACCCTCTTTGCCTTGATGAGTACAGAGCTTTCCCCATCTGCTCTCTGAGCATAGACATGAGCCCAAGCCTTGTGTCAACATGTTCCCAGCCTCCTTCCGTAATGTGGAAACGACACCGGCCGCTGCTTGCGAAGATGAAATCAAATGAATAAATGAATGTCAACAGACTGTGGGTAGAGGCCCAGAGGTTGCATAACAGACACACTAAAAGTGCACAGATGCTGTGAAGCCAAAGTGGGTGCTGAGTGGGTTGTCAGGGCTTGTTTTGGAGGGATGCACCTACCCATGTCACCAGCACAGCTGTCAGCCACTGAATTATTCCCAGTGAATTAAGAAACAAAAAATAACGCTCTCTACCCATCCAGTACTCATGCAGTCCATTTAGAGGGAATATTATGTGACATCTCTAGGTAAATCAGATGTGGAATTATTATAGCATGGTTCCTCTTCCCTGCAGGAACAAAAGCTGGAGATATTCTGCAAAATTTTATGTCAATGTCAAACTCAATAATGCTCCCCCAAAAAATTATTACCAGCTGCACATGTGGCAATAATGTCACACTAAGGGCATGGCTGCATGGATGAGGACTGACAGACTTATGCTCCATGCTCCAGCTCTGAGCTGGCCAGATGCAAAGAAATTCTACTCTAGAAGCAGAGAGCCACGTTAGCAGGGTGACAGCTTATGCAAGAAGAAAGGACAAAATTTTTGCCACTATGGTTTTCTGAATGCCACTGTTTGTACCTATTTGTCTCCTTTTCAGATGCCTGTCTTGCCCTTTAGTCCTTTAACCTGAACTGGAATGCTTTCTTTTTATTCTCCTCTCTTGCAGTAGAAGAACTATACAAACCAAGGCTGATTTCATAAGCCTTGGCAACAGCTTCTTAAATAAACAGCACACTTTTGGGTTTTGTTCCTCTGAAACAGAAATGCTGCTTCATCTTCTTTGTGCCACTTCCCCTCCAAAACTGCAGCAGCAGCAAAGCAATTAAGGGAGCATGAGGTAATATTCCATACAGAAAACCTACTTCATTCCACACAAACAGACAAATAACCTCCAGCTTGAGAAGGAGGAATGCACAAACACTTAAAAGTTAATTCCCAAACCCAGCAAGACAAAGGCAGAGTTAAAAGACTCAAAACACCTGAGAAAGCAAAACAGTCTCTTATCCCTCACTAAAGCAAACACAAAGAATAATTGCATTCACTTTCCAAGCTGGCAAGCCAGCCATAATATATTGCCTGCCACAGCAATCATTGTTCTTGTGTTCTCCACCCCAGCCTGATACACACTCAGCAGATTCATAACTCTTTCAAGTTCTCCAAGATAAACAAGTGGGCACTTGATAAAGAATTTCAGTTATATTATTCCTTGGAGCATCCAGCATGCCACCCCCACCCCCAATACAATGGGAGCTTTGTCCCTCACCTCCCCAGGGACGCAGTCTGCAGGTCAGCTGCAGATGGACCAGAAGTTTCTTGTGCTTCTGGAAGTCTGTCTTCTGTGCAGATGGGTCTCTGACTTCCACAGCTGCCCCTGGCATCCTCCAGTGCCCCCATTCCCAGTGGGATCACAGAGGGGTTGTACTGTGCTGGCCACCAGTGCCTGTGATGAACACCCAAAGGCCTCGCTGCGCACTGAACTCACCGTGACTTTTGGCAGCACGTTTGTTTTCCCCTCTTCTGTGCCCAGTGACTAAAAAGCTCCTGCTCAACTTGACTCCTACTTCCCATGGCCAAATCCCAGCCTGAAAATCCCTCCTAAAATGCTGGACTGCCACAAATGGTGTGGGAAAACCACCCTCAGCCAAAGGTGCCCAGAGTTTGGAAAAGCCATCTCCCCCTTCACGCCAAGGCCACAGTGGATTTATCTGACAAGCAGCCTTTGTCAGAAGGGACTGCTGGGGTGAGAAGGGCACCCCAGGGTTGAGCTGCTGCCAAGAGCCAGGAGAACTCAACAGACTGCATTTAGATAAAGGCAGGTTTTCTGATGCATTCAAACCTTGCTTCAAGGAATCCATTAGATTCACATGTTTGGTGGTGGAAAAAATCCTGACAGTCTTTGGCCACGTTTAGCACGCAGGAAATCCTGGAGGGAAACTGGGGACCACCTACACGTGTGCATGCACACAAAACAAACTGCAGGTGTCTGCTTCCTGAGACAGCAACCAGCACATTCAAAGTGAGAATCTGCCCAGGACTGTCACATTACTGCTGCCAGATACATCTGCTCTGGTAGAAAATCCTCTCCTCCAAATCTCCTTAGTCCTGAGCTGCACCACACACTGCAGCTGGCTGGGAGGGCACTGAAATTTGCATCCTCAGTTTTTGGAAGCTGTTGCTCAGCTCCCAGCTGGAAGGTCTCTGAAAGCTCCTGCTCAGCTTGATCCTGGCCCCAGCTTCACCACCAGTTCTCCCAGTGGGTGCCTGCCCTGACTGCCCCGGGGCACAGAGGTGCTGCAGGGCTGGGGCCAGTGAATTGTCCCCAGCACAGGGTGTGTCACCCAGGGGGACTCTGCAGAGCCAGCCCCTGCTGTACCTGGGGGCAGACTGGATACCAAGCCTAAGAGCCCATTTCTACAACAAAACCAGAATGGTTCCAATATTCCCAGTGAAATATTCTGCCTCTCCTTGTATAATAGCTCCTGCAGCCTGTGGAGCATGACAGATGCATTTTGCATCCTGTACACAACTGTACTGGCTGATATACTGCCTTCATTTCACTGCTCAACTTGGCCAAAACCAAGGGATACACATGGATTGCTCCCTTTTCATGTTTTCTGCCCTCTCCTCCTCCTTCTTCCTACATCCTACTATTGTCACGATATTCTAGAATTCCACCATTTTGCCTGACCACCTTAAGGAAAAGGTAAAAAATGTTAGCTTGCCAATCAGAGTGCCTTTGTAAACTATGCAGAAGTGTATCTAAACTGCCATCTTCTCACTAATAAATGAAGAACGTAGCATCAACCATATTGGTTTGAAATATGTTCTGTCCTGTGCAGCTTTCCTGTTTGATGAGGACCCTGGTTTCAGAGGTGCTCGACAGGCAGAGCTGCATTTAACCCAGCCCAGGCGTCTCTGCCCACACATCTTGTCCCCCACCCTGTCCATGCCCATGGCAAAGGCTTTGGCTGCATGAAACCTCCCTTCTCCACAGCCTTGAGCCCTGCTGCCATCCCTGCCTCCCTTCTCCACAGCCACCAGCCCTGCTGCCATCCCTGCCTCCCTTCTCCACAGCCACCAGCCCTGCTGCCATCCCTGCCTCCCTTCTCCACAGCCACCAGCCCTGCTGCCATCTCTGCCTCATGCCCTGAGGGTGACATTGTTCCTCCATCAGACCCCTCTGCTCCTTCCTGCTAAGGCTTCACCATCAGCGTTCTGCTGGTTCTGAAGCATCTGCAAGCACTTGGCCCAGGTTTCTCCATCCCTCCCCAGGTCTTCCTGCTGCCTCTGCAGACTCCCTGTGGCTTGTGCCATGGTCTGTAAGAGGAAGATGAGGCTCGCTGCCTCCACCAGCCCTGCAAACCCACAGCAGGCAGAGGCAGTTCCGGGCTAATGTCACAGCCACAGCTTCAGCACACGGCAGGGTGACTCTGACCTAGTTTTAACCCTGCTAAATATTCAAAGAAAGAACACGACAGCGTGTGGAGAAAGCAGTCCAAGGCTTTCCCTGTTTCCTCAGTATTCTCTGCTACTTTAATACCCACACTACATTGGAGCACATCCAATGCCAAATCTTCTTATGGGTGTACCACGAGAGGAAAAACATGGTAATGCTTGAAAGTTGGGATGCTTAGGGTGGGTTTTTTTGGTTTTTTTATATGATTATAGGAAGATGTGAATTTTCAAAGATTAGCATTTTGACAAAATTTAAAAAATAAACTGAAAATATTTTTAAGTGGAAATGTCCTTTAAGTTGCTTACCTTTTCTTTTTGCTTGTTTTTTTTCAGTCTTTTTGTTCTTAGTCATCAGGAGCTAAATACTAGGTTGACTATCATTCTGACAGGCCTTTCTTGTTGTGCTGGTTTTAAGAAAATGGATTTTTGTGCACTTGGCTTTATCTTTGTTTCAACATCTGCCTTTCCCTTACCATTGCTGTTTCACTTCCACAATAGAAAATACTCAAAATACTTCAGCTTCTCTTGATTCTTTATTAACTCTAGACCATTATGTAGTATATAACTACTTCTTTGCTATGGAAACACTATTTTATTTGAATCGCCCACACAGTTCTGGGTATTTCTGTTTTTCAGCATTTTAATTTCAATATAAAACTGTGTTCACTGACAGTGCAGAGGGCTTTACTGAGGGTAAGGGCAGCACAGCATCCTGGTCTCTGTTCTTCAGATGGTACTGAAGCCCCTCAGCCAGGATCTGGTGATACCCAAGATGTCAATGTTTCCCTTGAGTCTGAGAAGACACCTGAGGCTGAGCTATGAAACTCCACCATGGCAGGAATGGGAGCATTGCCTGGCATAGGAACCATAAGAACCTGTGGCTAAACAGAAATCCTCCAAATACTTCCTACCAGTGATCATGAAAAAGAAGAGATGCTCTTCTCATCCAACACAGCTAGATGCTCAGTGTAGTGACATTTTCTGCTCTGGAGAACTTGAGCACCACAAAGCAGAGCAAGCAAAGAAATCTGAGGAAAGAAGTGAGGAAAGCTTCCTGGAGAGGAATTTCCTGTGGAGCAAGAGGACAGCAATGGGACACAAAGACACAACCATGTTTTGAATGTGCTCCTGAGGGGCTCTGCCATTTGATAGCACATGTGAAACAAACCCCAGACATGGAGATCCTTGTCAGAGTGCTCAAGAAAAAAGGCAAGGACAGGAAGCCAGGAAAACCATTAATCAGTAGACTGCAAGTGGTGTTGTTTCTGGCATAGGTTGAGAGAACGCTGATCATTAACTCCTATGAACATTCCTGACCTTGCTCAGGAAGGCTCTTAATTAAATGATTATGTCCCTTGACTTCTGCAAGTTTCAGGCATCTGCCTCTCTGCCTTCCTCAGCAAGGCATTTTTGGGAATCAGGATCTCCATGATTACACTCAACTAATTAGTTGAAAAGCATTTTCATCTGGACTCCAAGCAATCAAATTAAATACAGTTAATGTGGATTTGGCAGGACTACACACAAACAAAAGTTGCTCTGTTTTTGTGCAAAATTGGAAAATCAGTTTTTGCTAATAGCCTGGTGTATGAAATCTGCTGCTTCAGCTTTTCACTGTTTACCCATCTTCTCCATTTTGCTGCAAAACTGTTGATGCAATTCTGCTGTGATAAATGAAGCCCAAAACCTCACAACATCCTGCCTTTAGCAAAAGACCTTGTAGGAACCAGAGACTGAGAAAGAATGAATTGTTCTGCTTTGCAGTAGAAGTTGATAAAGACAAAGAGCATGCTGGAAATAAAGGAACATGCCGAAAGTAAAGGAATCAACTTTATGCTACTTTATCAAAAGAGATACAAGACAGTGATATAAATCATCAGGTTTTAGCAGCTATAGGAAATTTTTTGCATTGTTATTGCACAATCACGCTGAAGGCTTCTGACCAAGCTGTCCGAAGAGCACAAGGAAATCCAGTGGCAGTCAACTTTCAGTCCAGGTCAGAGGTTTAAAAAACAAACTGGGCCCTTGTGAGTCAGGCATGCTAGGAAGACACAGTCAGTAGTTTCTTTTATAAAGAATTAAACCTGTTTTAGGTTAGCAATGTATATTAAGTGGCATGAAGTACCACTTTTATAAGCCAATACTTTTTAAGGACCAGTGAAGAACTGGTTTAGACTATTTCTCTGAGGTTCCAGCAAAATGATTTCATGTTGACATCCCCAGCATTTTGTCTAAAAACACCTGTCTCATCAGGTTATCATTTCAACTAGAGAAGGGACTGGAGAAGGAAACAGATGGCTGATGAATCCTCAACAAGAAACAAGAAAACATATGCCATGAATGTATTTACAGTCTTTTCTTTTCCTCTTACTGTTGTTACCATGCAAATAGGAATCTTTAAACATCTTCTAACCATTCAGTAAATCATTTCACAGAATAATGAATTCAAGTACTGTGAATCAGCCCCCAAAATTTAATGGTTTCTTTTAGTTTTTATGTTTTAGTTTTTATGTCACATCTGGAAACCAGTAGGACATGGTACTTGGGTGTACCTTCAGAGGGTGATACTTGGCTTTTCCTCAGCTCTCCATGCCTGTGGTCAGGACCTCTGTTTCCACAGAAGAGTAGGAGCAGGACGTGCTGACCATGTCTGCTGTAGTGTACAGCAGAGAAACTGCCTCGTGTTCTTGGAAGTCAGCCCTGTGTTACACAACTGCAGTTCAGAGGTTACAAAGGCAAAGGCTTTGCCAGCAGACTCCACACTTCAAAGCCGTGGCAACAATTGCTGGATCAAACAGAGAGGAAAGAAGTTGCCTCTGGGTCCCTGAAGCAAACTGGAGTCTCAG